TTTTCATTTTGTTGCTGGACTTCATCATGTTGTATTCTGTTCCAGTTGTCCTACACTATATCCAAAATCTCACTAAAACATTTACATAAGAAGTGAGTGGTATAGCATCAACATCGCTTGGAAAGCCATTCCTTTTGCTGGGTGAAGTCACAGGAAATGACAGTAGTTAATCCTCTCTGATGGGGAATGCTCTCACATGAACGAGTAGGTATAGGAGGAGGTTAGGAAAAATGACAATTAAAAAGAGGAAAAAGATGAAAACATTACTCAGAAAACAAAATGGAAGGAGTTTTTGCAGAAACACAGAGCTAATGGAAGGCAGATGAAAAAGGGGTAAAACAGAAGTAACTCTTCTTAAAGGAGGTGCAAAGGCAGGTGACTTAAAAAAAAAAAAAAAGAAAGAAAAAAAAAAAGGAAAAAAGGACACAGCGCAGTAATTGGTGTCTCTCTCAGTTAGAGAAATGACCTGTCAGGTAGGTCCAAGAGCCAGAAAGCTAGATACAACACATGCACTCAGCAGTGGAATGAGAGCTCTGCAGAGAGCCTCTTGATCTTCAGAAAGCTTCAGGGGAACAATTTTGGCAGCGAATTCTCCTGTCTCCCTCAACCAAGATGATGTATAGAAAGCAAGAAAGAAGAACGAACAATATGAAACTTCACAACCCTACAAAGCCTAGGAAGTCAAAAGATTAAAATAAGTGTTCCAACGACTGTAAGGTGGCCTGGGAAATTGCAGAGAGGAAAGCACATCAGAAATGCTTATGAGCTCTGTTTGAAAACAAAAAGAATGCAGTAGCTCTTATCTGCATTGTCATTTCTATCTGTCTGCTTAGTAAGTGCACAGCAACTTTATAAACCAGAGGATTCATTTTTTCCCCCTGTTGTCTAAGCACAGACCCAGATTATTCCCTGTTGAACAAGCCTGCCAAGATATCTTATGACACTGTGCAACTCCATTCTTTAGCTTCATAAGGACAACAAATGTGGCTTACACATTGAGTCAGCCTTTCCTTCTGTATCACTCCTCTGCTCTCCCCTTTCTTTTCCCTTCCTCCCAAGACAATCTCTCCATGGATTTGTGAGAAAAGAAAATGAGACGGTTATAATGCAACTGCTAATATTGGATGTTAAATTTCAATTTCATCCTGTACTCAGAGGTTAGCCCATTGGGAAAACTGATTTCTCCCTAGTTTGCTCTTCGTTGATGATGCATTCAGGTGATTATGTGCATTTAGATGTCAAGGCTGATTACTTAGGGAAATTGTGCACCACAAGCGTATCACCAAAAACTTTAGAAAGTCACAGTACAAGATTACTGATACAAAAAATACTGATACTGAACAAAACATCCAGACTAGATCACTGTCTGTTCATTATTAATATTATTCATTATTAATAAGTCTTCCAAATCCGGACACTATTATTTCCACTGTATCCTAATTTGTCACTTTTGACAATACCTCTTGGTATGTGGTTCATTCACAACTTATCTGGGCTCCTACGAATTTGTCTATGCATTTTACGAGCAGTTTTAGGGCCCTAAGGAAAAGCTGGAAAAGGAAAGCCCTAAGTCATGCCTGCAAAGGGATTATACTTTCATATCATTGAGACACTTTGATGAGTTTACTCATAAGGTAAATGTCAATTTACATGAAATATCCTTACTATGAAACTACAGCCTGGATTATCCGTATGGAAGAGGACTCATTTAAAATATCACTGAAAATTCCTGGAGTAATTAACAAGGAGGAGCATGACCCGATTTCAGATAGTGGTCTGGGGTAACTGAGACTGTGTCAACTATGTATTTCAAACAACCATGCAGTAGGGCCAGAATAAGCCTTGAAGATCTCTCCAAGTTTGTGAGCAGATGGGGTGAGGACAGGCAGTAGCAGGAGCTTTTTCAGACATTGTTCCTGCTAAGGTTGCAAAAAGGTACAGGCTACAGAAGGAGCTCTGGCATCTTAATACGCGCAGTGTCCCACAAATAAGCACAACCCTCTCTTCTGAGCACCCAAGGTAAGTCTGAAATTCAGTCTAATCTTACTTCACGCGCCAAAGTTAATCAGTATTGCCTTGCACAGTGATTTTGACTACTGCTAACGTTGCCAGCTTGCCATGACAAAAGGAAAAGACAACATTCTCATTTAGTTCCTTCCTCATGAAGACAAACGGTATAGAACCAAATACATAACACAGTCCTAAACAAATCACACAATCCTGATACAGAGCAAATAGCATTTGTTTTGCTTCTTCATCCATTTTCTGAACTCTGACCTCCCAGATAGCCACACTAGGACTATAAATAAATTATTTCCAATGTTCTGGTCTTCTTTCCTCAAATCTGAAGCACAAAAATTATGATATGTTAACTCTATCAGCCACGTAGAAGACTGGAATTTTTCACAACGTTATGGGTTGCCACACACGTATACATGGCAGTGATACCTGTGTATCTAATTATGTTAATCAGTCACTTGTAAGTCAGATGCAGGCTGCCCACCGATTTACTGCAATTGCATTTTTTAAAAAAATAACATTTAGGCTATTTTAAAGAACTGTGTCTTTCATTCACCTTTGAAGAAAACAAAATAAACTTGTTTTATACTAGAGGATTTATACAGAGAGTTTAAAACATATCACTATTTTTATATGGCTATCCCATGATTTTACATGTAAGTTACATACACAGTGGTCACTAGAAATTCTTTAATCTATCCTAGCAATTAAAATACGTATTAATTATACATACTTGCCTATTTCAGAGCCAAGACAAAACCTCCCTTTGTGTAGCCTTTTGAACGTGGTCGAGCGATCACAAAATGGGACAGAGTCACAACTCGGGCACTGACTCACCACATAGCCTTGGCAAGCTGACTAGCTAGAGAGGGCCGAGTCTCCCCAAGACTTACCCCGTGCAAGATCACACATGCTGGGAGCAGGCTCTGCATTTTGACTCCGGAGATGCTCAGTGTCCCTGTGTGACTCCTGGGATGGAGGCACTGAAGAAGATGCTGAGGAGGAGGAGGATGAAGAGGAAGAGGCTGGTTTGGGTTTGGAATGCAGGTCATTCAGTCTCAGGAGATTTTCAGGAGTCACAGTGTCTGGGTTCACTGGGGTGGGATGCAGTGTAGCTGGTGTTACTGGAAAGAAGCTCTCTCTGTTGTCTTTCGTATGTTTTGGGGTTGTGGGTGTTTCTCCTGTGGACTACGTAAAACAAAACAGGGCAGAAGGACACAGTGAGAAAATATGCACCAACGATCCTGCATGTGCTACTTGCTTCAACAAAAACTGCAGGCAGTACAACTTCCTATAGAAGGAAAATGACTTCTCTAAGGTGAATATAAAATTAATCATTATTATATGCATACACACACACACACACATATATATATAAAAATATAAAAACTTACCCCTGTACAGACTACAATTATTTTTCCTGTTCCTTACAGTCTATTCATCAAACCAGCACTCAAGCATTTATTCATACTCACATTTACAATGCTTTATTTAGCAAATCCCTCACAACACAATTCATTTTTCATGAACTTTGTTGTTAAACATGAACAGCAAACTCCTATTAACAGAAAGAAATTTCTTTCATTTAAATATACATTGGCAAACTCTCGACCTAAATGAAAGAGCAGTAGTGCTGTACGAGAATTTGCAAATTATTAAAAGAAATTATTCTTAGCAGGATGATGCGAGAAGAGAAGAAACAGAGGAAACAGAAAAACATGTTTGCTTGCAAAATAAAAGACCAACCTAACCCCCAAGTCATAAATTCCCAGTAAGTGCAGATCTGAGTAACACTGAGGTCCTACTTTGAATAACAATCTGGAAGATTTGTTGCCTTTGTAGAAGGAAGAGTAGTACCAAAAGCCACACTTTTCTCCAAAGCCAGAGCTAAGAGTTTCAATGCAGTGCTGTTAATCGTATAGTCAGAAGGTGGAGGAGTGATATAAATTCACCGAAAAAGGGAACAAAAGCATACATAAAACAAGTACCTTCTCTATAATTTTTTACCAGCAATCAGATATAGTATTTTTGCATGTAAGGATGCATTCGTTCATACTCCCAACAGTCTTCCTTATTGAAGACTTATTGATTGAAAAATATGCAGCCGAAAGGAATCTTAACTGCTTAATTGTGTCTCCCACTTCAAACATAAAGAAAAAGTCATTTTAACCATGGTGATAAGAGTACGAGTGTTTGAAAGAGACACAAAAGTTCTACTGCCAACCGTAAAATCAAAATGGGTCCTAATGTCCTAGATGACTAAAGATTTATTACAATCCCAGAAGAATCAGCTGAATTTCACCGAGAGAATGGAGTAAACTACAGCTGGAGAAATCCCACGTTTAAAATTCAGAGGTGGAACGCAACAAGGACTTTTTTTCGTTATAATTAGTGGAATGTAATTTTAAAGTTCCTGTACTTCATTAATCAATCTCAAATACAAAAAGTGTATGATTAAAATCTGCAAGATTTTGTGTGCACGCAAAAAATAAAACAAAGCCGTCATAATAATTGCCACATTAGATCAAATAACGTCTCTTCTACCTATGAAAACAGCAAATTTCTGAGGTTTAAAGCTGCAATTGCGAAACTAAAGGTCTCAAGACTTACAAACGAGATCCCAAGCCTGAGGGAAATTAAACTGCAGAAGAAAGCCTTAAGCCAGAAATGAGATCACCAGAGGAAATGTTTTCAGTTGTGATTTATAGGGAAAACTTTTCACACCCATACACTTCATTAACTCACATAATACATTCGGTAGAATCTGAAATTTCTGTGCTTGTATTGTAACCATGTTTTTTTTTCCAGTAGAAACACACAAAGGTACTACTAGTTAGTTACTCATTTATTAAAAAAAATAATAAAGCATATCTATCACACTGCTCATCTATAAAAGCGCACCAGAGACAGAAAGAGGATAGCTGGAAAGCAAATTGGCAAGGCAGCGCGGGGAGGAGGGCATGTGATTCAGAAGAGAAAAATGATTAGTGAGAGAAGCAGCACACAGAGGGAACCTTAGCATCATGGAGTAATCCCTGCTGGAAGGGACCTCTGGAGGTCTCGAGTCCAACTTCCTACTCAAAGCAGAGCTTCAAAGTTAGATCAGGTTATTCAGGGCCCGTGTCCAGTCCCGTTCCAAGCATCTCCACAGATGGAGATTCAACAGCCTCTCTGGGCCCCCCCCGTTCCAGCGCTTTACCACCTCCACAGTGAACGTTTTTTTCCTTTGATCCTGTCCAATTTTCTCTTGCTGCAACTTGCAACTGGTGCCTCTCCTTCTTTCACTGTGCAGCTCTGAGATAGTCCGGTTCCCTCTTCTCTACTGAAGACAGTAATTCAATCTGCCTGCTCTTCCTTAACCTTCTCTTCGCCGGGATGAAGCAACCCAGCTCTCAGGCTTCAGCACCATCAAGGCACACTGTTGATCCACATTCAACTTTTTGCCCACCAGGACTCCCAACTCCGTTTTGGCAGAGCTGCTCCACAGCCAGTCCCGTCGCACGGAGGTTACTCTGTCCCAAGGGCAGGACTTGGAACTTGCCTTTGCTTATTGTCATGTGGTTCCTGTCAAACCAATCCTCCAGCTTACAGTAGTTCCTCTAAACAGCAGCCCTGCTCTCCAACTCGTTGATCATGCCCTCCAAATAGGTGCCAATCATGAACTTGCTATGGGTTCACTCCATCCCATCATCCCGGGTGTCAGAGAAGATGATGTCCCAGTATTAATCCCTGAGGAACGCCACTTGTAACTGGCTGCTACTTAGATTTCCAGTGGTCGGCCAATATGTTTTGAGCTTAACGGTGAGTCAGTTTTTCAGCCACTTTGTAGGCCATCCATTTAGTCAATGCCTCCACAATTTGGCTACAAGGATGCTATGGGAGGTATGTTAAAAGCCTCACTAAAATCAAGGTAAATAGCTCTTTGCCTTGTCCACAAAGCCAATTATTTCACCTTAGAAGGCAATCAGGTTATTCAAGCACAGCTTGTCCTTGGTATATCCATGCCTGCTGCTCTCAAGTACCTGTTTGTCTTTCAGGTATCTGGAAATGGTTTCCAGGAGATCTTCCTCCATAATCTTCCATGTGACTGAGGTGAGACTGACCAGTCTGCCGTAATCTTCTCGAGTTCTGGGAGTGCGGTTGGTTGCTTGTTTTGAAGACGGGATATTTTCTAGTCATTAATGATCTCTCCCGATCACCAAAACCTTTAGAAACGGTAAGGGTAGCTTTGCAATGACATCAGCCAGCTCCTGTGGCACTGACCTTGGTTTGTTCAGGGAACTAGTAGGCAAGAAGATTCTGTGGAAGGCTGCCTTAAAGGACAGAGGAGCTGAGAAAAATTGTTTGATCTTTGGGAAGAGCTTCCTCAAAGTACAAAATCAGACCATTCAGACGTGCAAGAAAATGAGTAGGCATGGCAGGAGGCCATCGCCTATCAAATCTCTGACCAGCTTCTCTTTATTTGTGAGTAGCAGCTACAGTGAGAACCTCCCCTAGTCAGCACATCCAGCACTTGGATCAAAAACTGTCCCTGATTCATTCCTGAACTCTTCTAGATTGCTTTTGCCTTGCTATGCTGCTTTTACAGCAGATATTGGGGTGTCCCTAAATTTCACCTCTCTGAACAAGTCAACAAACAAAGGAATGATTTAGAAACAACAAAAAGAAAAGAAAAGTCCTCTTGGCAAAAAGTGGCCCATTCACACATTCAGATGCCCATATCAAATTTAATTGGACAACGGACACCAGTTATAGATGACCGTGTACACAGGGAGAAAAAGAGAAAAGTTTTGTTTGAAATAATCCTCAATGGCATACATAGATGGAACCAAATTCATATTTAATTGCTCACCAAATAAGGGTGCTATATCTAGGATTAAAACAAAATAATTGTTATTTTTAACTAGTTCCTTCAGGCGAAGCTGTGGTTCGGATAAGATTTTTTTGAGGAAAATCAGCCTGCCTCATAAAGAGGATAAGGGCTACCTTAGCAGCTTAGGAAAAGCACAACGTTTTTAACTGCACAAAGAATAATGCTGAAACTAATTTAAAGTGCCTGTTTCAGTAAAACTATGACTAAAATTCCTCATGTGCAATGGAAAAGTACAGCCTCAAACCAAAGAGTGACGATTGAAGAAGATTTTCATATTTATGGCTTTAAAGAGAGCCTTCCAAATGTGACCTGGTAAAGAGTTGTCTAAGGATTCAGGAAACAGACAGATCCAACCCAATGAAACAGAGAGAGATTCTGATAAGAGAAAAATCCTCTCGATGTCTTTCTTTTCTGGAAAGAGTGGTGGGAGTGGAAAAAGAGGAAGAGAAAATTATCCTCAAGTAAGAGTAAGTAAGAGTCATTCTTAAAGACCCCTGGCTACCGTGTATTCTGCCATGTCACAGCCCTAGCAAAAGGGATTTAACCCTGCTTGGTATGTTTTACTGGACTCAGAAACTGGAGAAGACCCAAAAGTTATTAGCAGAAAATTAAGAGGAGCACTGGTGTGAAGTACACATTCTTTTTGTAAAAGAGATTTGGTTCTTAATGCAAAAGCAGGAATTCCAGCTCCTCTCCATCAGTAAGCGAAGCTACTCTCAAAAGCCAGGTTAGAGCAATTTCACCAACTGCAATAGTCATCAGCAATGACAGGGCCACATTATCATCATCATCCAGGTGACTGCTTCCAGGAAAATACCAAACTCTCTAACACCTCATTTGAGAAATAAACCCAGAAAAACTCATTAGAGAAAGTCTTGGATTTGCCAGAACCACTTTATTTTCATCTATTTTGGCTGCCGTATCAGCAGTAAGGCACTAGAAAGGCTTGATTATTTTCCACGAACATCTAGTAGGAAACTGAGAAGCAGTGACAATCCTTCACCAGTGTTTTATGTGGTTTCCCATGAGGGGATCTGATTTAATTTTTATTTTGTTGCAGCACTGAGTCAAAACTCTGAAAATTCACCTCCCCCCCACCCAACCCACCTCACCGTGTAAAACTTCTCAATTATCACCACTGCATTTGAAATACAGTAGCTTTGCCATGAAGTGGCTTTAGCCACTGAGAAGGACTCTTCCTTATGTTGATGGCGGTGCCACTCACAGTACAAATGTGTACGACCTAAACAAGATGAAAACTCATTTATCTGTCACCCTCCTCGTATTTTCTGGTTGAAACTACATGTTCATCCAG